CACAGGACATTTTTGCCATTTCTCCTGGATGCCTTTCCTCCTGGCAGCAAACATTTTTTGGCTGGCACTTGTAAACACATGTAACGCATTTAGGCACGTTAAGCAATTGGGCATTAATTAATTTCATTGGCCAGAAGAATAATTTATTTTGGCCATTGAAATTAATTAATGCTTAGGTGTCTACACACGTCAAGAGTTTTTTCTGCAAAGTACTGCTGCTCCTGGACACACTGGCAATTTTTTTTTCTGCCTCTTTACTCCCCTGCCTCTAATCGTGTGCGTGGTACATAGTCTAACATGCAGGGATGTTTAGAGGCAGAAAAAAAATGTCAGATGCCCCTAAGAATTATGCAGGTTATGTATACAGGGAGTTAGGGCTATGTGACATAACATGACTGATTTTGTAGCAGTAATTTACAACTGCAACATCATTTTTTTTGTCAAGAGAAAAAAAGCAAAAGAAAAAAGCAAGAGAAAAAAAAGAAGCAGAACCAGCGCTCAAGTCTGTGAACATCCCAGGAACACAGTAACAGTCACTCGCTGAGATGCAGCCCTCTAAAGATCAGGAAATCTTGATATTACTGGAAGAAAGCAAAAAAGGGGTGCACTCTCCTCATGCATTACCGTGATAAAAAGGAATTTATTAAAAATAACAGAAGTATATACTCACAAACCAAGAGTCAAGTGAACAAATAAGGAACCAATGTGATAGTCCCAGCAAACAGTAGTCTTGCGACAGGGTATGCTAACGCGTTTCGGAAGATGTACTCCCTTCTTCAGAGCTGGGACTATCACATTGGTTCCTTGTTTGTTCACTTGACTTTTGGTTTGTGAGTATATATTTTTATCATTTTTTTTGTAGCTAGGAAACAATTGAATTACAGGCATTGAAACGTCTGGGTTTCTGCAATCCCAGCAACAGCTTAGTTGCTGAGCAAGTTGCTTTTTGCAACATTTGGAGTTATCTATAGAACAGGGCTTGAAATTTCCACTTGCCTGCTCGCCAATGGTGAGTGGAAATTATGGTGGGGGCGGTTATGTCCCCCAGGGCCGTCTTGCTGAGCAGGCTTGGAGCTCAGGCTGGATCTGTCATTGGCACTGGGAGCCTTCAGACTGCTCAATAGCTGAGCGCAGTGAAAGCAAAGCAAGGAGTGTGTGCTGTGCTCTCTGCCTCCCCCTAGAGTGCAGTACCCGGATCTGTGAGTGAACAACGAAGTACTGCAACTTTTTATGGGGGGTGGTGGTGGTGTGGTGTGTGTGTGTGTACGTGTACATGTGTGTGTGTCTGTGTGTGTCTGTGTATGCATGTACAATTGTACATGTGCCTGTACATGTGTGTATCTGTACATGTGTCTGCGTGTATGTACATGTATGTGTGTGTACATGTGTCTGTGTGTGTGTGTGTGTGTTTGTGTGTATGTACGTACATGTGTCTGTGTGTACATGTGTCTGTGTATGTATGTACATGTGTCTGTGTGTATGTACATGTGTCTGTGCGTGTGTATTTCTGTGTATGTATATGTATCTGTGTGTATGCGTGTCTGTACATGCCTGTGTGTGTATACATGTGTCTGTATGTGTGTGTGTGTGTACATGTGTCTCTGTGCATGTGTGTGTATGTGTGTGTGAGTGTATGTACATGTCTGTGTGTGTGTACAGGTGTCTCTGTGTGTGTTTGTTGGTGGCGAGTAACTCTAAGGCCTGGCTAGTAGCTCAGGACTTGAAATTTTAAGCCCTGCTAGAAGATACTTGTGTTATCTGCCAGCACTTTGCTTTTGCATAGGTATGCATTGTAGTTATTGACAAAAGCAGTTATGCATCACATCTCTGGCAAAAAGTTTGCTTGTATATCAGCATGACTCGTAAAGCATAAAATGATTAAAACCTCTGTTGGGGCATCCCTACGGAGATTCAGTCTTGTTCTTCGTCATTCAAACATATTGAAGGTGAAATTGAAGGGATAACCCAACATTTTAGGGCTTGTTCACACCAGCTGGGGGTGAGTTATGCCCTATGTAATATGCCCCCACTAGGGTGTGTTGTGTAGCAGTGGTGCGATGCGTTGCTAAAATTTTCTTTTTTTTTTTTTTTAACTTTATTACAATGTCGCAAAATTACATTTCTTTCAACTCTATACCCTGCAGTATGACGGGCTTCAGTGCAGTGACAGGCCATGCGGTGAGTTGAGCTGCATAGCATATGCAGATATGCTGCATTTCTTTACAGAGCACACCATGTAAGATATGACCAGGGCACCTAGAAAACAATTGTCTTTTATGTAGACTTACATTGAGTCTGCGTTGATCTATGCAGATTAATACAGGTCAATCGACATAGTATTCAGCAGCCACTGGAGCAGGAATAGAGGGCAAATCTTTCAATGGGGCACCTGTTCTGTTAAAAATTGTGTACAGGAGATTTCCATTCCTTTCCTGTGGTGTGTCTGATATAGTACAAAGGTTTTAAAAATGTAAAAAACTCAAACACTTAAAAAACAAAGTTTATATTTCTGTCTGTGTCCCCTTTATGTAATGGCAAAAATAAAATTGACAGGAATTATAACCTTCTTTTAATCTATCCAAATTGAAAAAATAAATATGGAGTTGTCCCATAATGAGGCGCTTCTGGATTAGAGTTTATAACTTTACCTATACTCTCACTCAGGTTAACCTGACCAAGTCCCCGAAGCATACCTCATTGGGTTGCAAGGTGGAGGAAGCCTCCAAACATCTGAGACGGCCTATCACCTTTATATTTGTCTCAGCAAAAATTACCATTGCCAAGAATTGGAAGTCAGCTATCATACCTTTTGACCAGCTCAAACATAAACTATCCTGGATGATAAACATGCATCTATCAGTGATATTAAATGACAAAATGAAAGTCTTCAAAAAAGGTGTGGGATATGTGGGTTAAATATCTAACGGGCGACCCATGGATGCTATTCGATTGAGAAACCGTAGCCTCCCTAGCGGTCTGATTATGTCCATATTTCTGTGCTCAAAGTGGTACCTTTTTTTCCATGGAAATATGTAGTTTTTTTATTGTAGGCCTGTAATTTTTAGGAATAACTCACTGAAATCTGTCTGAACAAGAGTCTAGTAAATATCCCGGGTATGTTAAAATTGAAACTCGAAACCATAAATTATAATATAATCATAAAAAATAATAATATAATAATAAATTTAATTAAATAATATAATCAAACCAAAAACACTGACGTTTGAAATATAGCGCCAAGTTCACACATCACTGAGCAAAGTCGCAAAATCATTTTCAGTGTCTGATGACGAATTTCCCCACAAATCATTATCACTCAATTCTACAAGTGGTTCTGATTTACTATCGCTGTTCTCTAGCTGGTCTAAAACCGCTTTTGACCTAAAGGGACGCTTTTTGGATGCCATGGACGTTTCTCAGTTTCCAGGCAGAAAGAACAGTAAAAATGCAGGCAGGGCACAGGACAAAGCACTAGGGACAAAATGTATGTGAAATGCTTTGATACAGTAATGTTTTACTATGTAATTTTAGTGTATTTAGTGAATGTCACTTTTTGACATTTTTAAATTTCCCGCCATTCCTCCCCATACGTCCTGACGTTGCAGGGAACGGAACCCAGAAGACGGATGCTGGCATCGGCTGGAGGACATTGCCGGGTAATGCTGCAGGGGTACATCGCGGGAGCGCAAGACAAGGTAAGTGAAGAAGAGATCCTGGAGCAGTGCTGCATGGTATTCCCGAGTGTAGCTTGGGGTTACCGCTTTTGGTACTGAAACTTTACCCCGAGCTACACTCTGGAATACCTCCAGGGAGGTTAAGGAGGGAGTATATGAGAGCATAGAGTCCTTTAACACCCCCCATTATTTTCTTTCTTCTCTTATTATTTTTTCTAGGCACTCTGGCCTCTTTCTTCTCTGAAATAGTTGTGATAAAACAAACTCAGGGTTAATGTTTATGATTGTGCAACTTATGGTGTGATTCCTCGCAGGTAGGTAGCCCAAATTGACAGAAATGTATGGCGTATCTTGTGCCTACACAGTTGTTTTACTTTTTTTGTTACAATGTTATAAGTATTATGCTTTTATAGAATCCCTTACCTCCCTGGTGGGCTATTGCAGTGGGTAACCTGGCATCTAGTAGGATTACAATAGTGTTGAGTATTGAACCTGTGTTTGAGGCTCCCTTCATGCCCAATATGCTTCATTGATATTGCAATAACCAGTGGAACGTGCCTTTTGTTTCTACGAACAACTTAATTCATTATGTCATTGTGTTATCTGTTTGCTTTTTTACAGTGAAAACACTATTATGTTGTAATGCTCTTTGGAATCTTTTTCTTCAAAAAAATTTCAATAAAAAACATTGGAAAAACAAATGGTTTTCCTTTAGGTCTACTTTAAAACTAAAGCCAGTTTTCATGTGACTATAAAGCTCCTCAGCTGGGTCACAAACAATGATAGCATTTCTAACCATTCCTTCCTCTATTCAAAACTGAAATGAAACTGCTTTGAATAGGGATATTTTTCATTGCTTGACTTTACTAAGATAAATTACAGAGAAACCTTGTGTACTACCTGCTTAGTGTCTCATGAGGCGTGAATCCAATTTAAGCATTGTTCATAGCTTTCTTCATTTTTGTCCACTGACAATGATTTAGAACCTACATGCTCCTGGGTTTTTTTTACGTTACCTCTCAACTACTGGTTTAATTAACCTCCCTGGCGGTATTCCCGAGTGTAGCTCGGGGTAAAGTTTCAGTACCACAAGCGGAAACCCTGAGCTACACTCGGGCTTACCATGCGGCGCTGCTCCACGATCCCTCGATCACTTACCTTGTCCTGCGCTCCGGCGATGTCCTTCCCGCAGTATCCCCGGCAATGTCCTCCGGCGGATGCCGGCATCTGTCTTCTGGGTTCTGTCCCCTGCGAGTGTCAGGACGTATGGGGGACAGAATGGCGGGAAATTTGAAAATGACAAAAGGTGACATTCACTAAATACACTAAAGTCACATAGTATAACATTACTGTATCAAACCATTTCACATACATTTTGTCCCTAGTGCTTTGTCCTGTGCCCTGCATGCATTTTTACTGTTCTTTCTGCCTGGAAACTGAGAAAAGTCCATGGCGTCCAAAAAGCGTCCCTTTTGGTCAAAAGTGGTTTTAGACCAGCTAGAGAACAGCGATAGTAAATCAGAACCACTTGCAGAATTGAGTGATAATCATTCGTGGGGAAATTCGTCATCAGACACTGAAAACGATTTTGCGACTTTGCTCAGTGATGTGCGAACTTGGCGCTATATTTCAAATTTCAGTGTTTTTGGTTTGATTATATTATTGAAATAAATTAATTATTATTATATTATTATTTTTTATGATTATTAAATTATAATTTATGATTTTGTGTTTCAAATTTTAACATACCCGGGATGTTTACTAGACTCTTGTTTGGACAGATTTCAGTGAGTTATTCCTAAAAATTACAGGCCTAGAATAAAAAAAATACATATTTCCATGCAAAAAAATGTACCACTTTGAGCACAGAAATATGGACATAATCAGACCGTTAGGGAGGTTAATATTTTATTTATTTTTTTATTCAAACATTTTATAGAATCTGAACTTAACTGACAATTTTAGAAAAAAAACGTGTGCAATCCCGTGTTTGCTATTGATAGCGCAAGTTGAAATCATGCCAAGCTAACTTTGTTTACAAGCGTCTCGAATGTGCATCTATTTTTAACTCTGGTTCTGAAGTGTGTTTCACCTGTTAATGAGCTTCACCCTAGCATGTGTTTACTCCAATCCCCCATCAGGTTCATGGCAATTAAAAGAACCTTGGAAATTGCCCAGTGATTTAGTGTTTAAAGGGTGAGAATTACTCCAATTCATAGAAGTTCACAGCAGCCTACAGTGCCTAAAGAAAAAATAAAGGCAACTTTTCTTTAGTTTTGGATAGAGTGGAAAGGGATCTGAATCCCAACCATGGCACCACTTGCCTGGAGTTTGCATGTTCTCCCTTTGTCTGTGTGGGTTTCCTCCAGGTACTCCGGTTTCCTCCCACCCTCCAAAAAACATGCTGGTAGGTTAATTAGATCCAGTATAAATTGGCCCTAGTATATGAATGAGAGTTAGCGACCTTAGATTGTACGCCCCTTGAGGTTTAGGGACGAATGTGAATGTACAATATATATGTAAAGCCCCTCATAAATTGACGGCACTATATAAGAACCACAAATAAATAAAATAAATACAATTAGAACACCTGTCAGTGTCCCTATTATGGAGATTCATGCTCTCTATTTGTTTTGTTTACCATTATCATTGAAAATGAAAGAAAATTCTAAAGTTTCAGTTGTCCCTAGAACAGGAATAGAAGAGGAGTCTTCCAGTGGGGACTCTAGTTCTGGTGACAACCAGAGATTCCCTCACTTTGGTGGGATTTCCTCTCACTTTCTGTTTTGGCTATGGGACACATGCCCAAAAAAAAACTGACAGGGGTCATAACCCTCCCTTACTCTAAAAGAAAAAAGTTTTGCCTGTCCTACTACTTTAAAGCCCAATTGAAACCTCCCTATGGATTAATGTAAAATAGTCTGGTTGCATATACTGTACAGTAAGTACCAATTCACACATGTGCGGTGTGGACTGAAGCTCAGGTTTCACAGCTAATTGACACAGTAGTTGTTCAGCTGTTCATGTCAGGTTTACATCAGGTTCAAATCAAGATTTTATTCGTTCACACCTGTGCAGTTTAGAAACAATTCTCATAGAAGTCAATAGCCTGCAATCTAGACCTGAACAGGACTGGACTGCTCAGAAATCGTACAGGACTCTTTTTCTATTCTCACTGAATCCGCACTGCCAATTCTCTGGACATAGGTGAACAGGCAATGTGAACAGGCAGGAAGCAATGTTATTTCACATGTCATGCGAATTGTATATGGTTCAAACAGCATTCAATCGCATATATGTGAACCAGCACTAGTAAATATGCTATCCTGTCTGTGTATTTTTATACACTGTACTATTTGCTGTGGCAAGGGTTAAAGTATCTGTGAACACACTCTATGCAAAACACGTTTTTGAAAAGTAAGTGATATATGTGACCTGTATGAAAAAAATTCCCAAAAAAGAAATCTGGTACTTTTTGTTTTTTAAGCCAGCAGTCACAGTCACATGACTGCAAAGCCTCCTCTGCATTGTATCCTGGGGTTTTGGGAGGCATGTCAGTATTGGAAGGGAGGTGCACTGTTAGTGACAACTAAGACACACTGGTGCAGCCTTTCTCAATCAGGGTGCCTTGAGGTTTCTTCAGGGGTGCCTTTGCAAAATGTCTAAAAATTGCACAAAACTTGCATACAAGCCAGTGGGTGGAACAAGCATGCCTTTTAGTTACACAAAACCACAGGTTTTCATTGTGCACCATTATGACCTTCTAGCCGCCGGCATCTTGACAACCAATGACATCATCAACTGATAAGGAGGATGTCAGCTGCCAGCACAGCATCCTTGTTTGTCCCTCCCCTGCCCCTCTCCATCAGTGCTGGGGTCAAATTAGCTCAGTGATGGGGAAAAACTGAGGGAGAAGAGAAACAATGGAATACTAGTCAGTATCAGTGTGCAAATGTGTATTTGCTTTGGAAGGATAAATCACCTCTAATGTTGGGTGTCCTACATGTGTGGATGTTTCTGTTAGAATAGTTTTTCACATTTTAGAATGGGGTGCCCTTTTAAAATTATGGACAGTCTTCAGGCACCCCATATTAGAATGGGGTGCCTCGGGACTGTCCATAATTTTAAAGGGTGTCTCAAGACTGTCCATAATTTTAAAGGGTGCCTTGACTGAAAAAAAGGTTGAGAAACACTGCTCTAGTGCACTGTGGTTTGGGTGCAGGGTGATCCTATCTGCATTTTACACCTGGGTTTAGGTGTGTTCCTATCGAATTTTACTAGACTGTGTGTTTTGTGAATGGCATCAAAGATGCAGGATGCAGGACTTTGATGTGCATGAAAATGCTCGGTCTAATAGAAGTCAATGGGAATGCACCTAAAACTGCATGTAAAATGTGCATAAATTGCGCTGCACCCAAACTGCAGTGCACAGGTGTGAATCCAGCCTAACATAGCAGGGAATGCCTTATCTACTGTGTACATTGCATTCCAGGAGTGTTTGTCTTCAGGCTGTGAGTGACACACACGGTGGGGAATTACCTTTCCAATCGGTGCACATCCTCTGCTGTCCACACCACTATTGGCTGTAGCTGCATAATGCAGGCTTTGATTACCAATGGGTCACAGTCTTATTGCAGCACTGGCGCTAGGCAGGGGGGGGGGCATATAGGTAAATCTGACTACAGAGACACAGGCACGCTGTGCATACACAGGGAATGCCTATATCTCTAGTTAGATGCAAACTGACCACACCAGCACAGATGTGGTCAGTTTTGAAAAGTAAATGACTGGATTACCAGTTATTTGTACCTGATGCGCACACTGAGGATACCTTTTTAGCAAAGACATACCCTAATAGACACATATGTGCTATAATAATTTTAAGGGTAACATGCACTTTAAATTACTCTGTGCTAGCAGCATGCTGGATAGTCAGATCACTGCTGCCACACACACAAAGTAGTCTGGCACTCCCCCCTGCACACTTGATGCTCAATGATCAGCACTGTTGATTGGAGAAATGTGCAGCTCTGAGTGTCAGACTGTCAGAGACTAGAACACCCACCAGTGTGGTGCTTGAACAGGGTATTTTCCAGCACTTAGGGCTCGTTCACACTAGGCTGTTTTGCCAACGCTTGCCAAACGCCCCTATAGCGTTTGGCAAGCGTTGGTCCGGTGTTTGCGGAGCGTTTTTGACGCTCGGCAAACGCTCCGCAAACGCCGCATGCGCGGTTTAGCGGCGGTTGCTAGGCGTTTGCCGAGCGTTAATAACGCCCCACAAACGCCTATAATGCATTTGAGTGGTGTTACCGCTCCGCAAACACCCCGCAACCGCGTCGCAACTGCACTGCAAACGCCGGCCGGGCTTTTGCGGAGCGGCACCATAGACGAGAATAGGAGGCTTCAAAGCCTCCTGACTCGACCAGAGGCGTCCGTTTTGCCGCGACGCAACGCGACGCGACGCAAACGCTCCTGTTAGAACAGCACGATGTGCTGTAATGTGCAGAATTGGCAGAGACGTTTGGGAAGCGGTAAAAACGCTTCCCAAACGCCTCTCTGCCGCCTGCACACAAGGCTAGTGTGAACGTAGCCTTAGTGTGCAAAAAAAAAACACAGAAAGGAGAGCATATTTATTGCTGTATATTCAACCTGACTTCATTACAGTAATAAGGAGGCTTCAACTGCATTTTAAAGTGTTACTAAACCCACAATAGTAAAATCAGTCTGTATATGCAGTAAAGCATGCTTGTTATACTCACTGTGGAACCTAAGGGGTTAATCCTCTGCATTGTGTAAAAAGGCTATTGTATCCTTTCTTCTCTGCCCCTCCTCTTGTTCAAATGACCACCTGATACAGACTGAATCTGTAGTCACATGCATATGCTCAGTTTGGTGTGTATTGCTAGAGAGGTTCTTTTTTTTTTCTTGGGAGAGTGCATGTGATCAGCACAGGTCAGCAGTTTCACATCCTCCTAGAACAGAAAGAAAACTGCTTCTACAAGCTTTAACCAGTGCTCTGCTGAAGTTACAAGACTGCTCTAACTGCTAATTAGAAAAAGTATTTAGCAGTTTATATTTACTAAAATAATTGCATTTCCATGTTGTGTGTACTGTGGAAGACCAGATATAGTAAGTGCTGGGTCCTGGTTTTAGTATCACTTTAATATCAGCTAACCAAAGTAAAAACCAAAATGTTTTAGGTTTGGAAAATACCAAATGCAACTATATTTTGCCTTACCCTTTGTGTGTTCTGTATGCTATCATTAGTTCAAGGTGTAGGGTATGCATTTACATTTTTTTTACATCAGGGACTTAATATTACAGGAGATCTGCAAGGTTTTAGAGGGCCCAAGCAGGTTCAGCAGGAACCCCACAAATTTCAATTAATCTATGGGGAGGTTGGTTTTACTGAAGTCGATCTATTAATTGACTTGGATACAACCAGTCTATTGGATTTTTTTCACTCAATTACTGCTATAGCCATCAGCAGTGATCATTGTATTCTGAAGCCTGGGATATTGCCCGCTGGTGGGATACGGT